CGCCATTCCCCCACCCCCCACCGCCGACACTACCGTGGCTGCCTGTGGAAACTCCCTGTTCGCTGCCACCACCGCCACCTGCAGGCAGTCGCCGATCCCCCCCAACTTCCGGGGGCACATCTCGTTCATGGCATGTAGCATTTGCACCAGGCTAAATGTGTCTATACAAGATGCTAGGTCGCTGTAGTGATGATCTACAGGGATATGGTTCATCGCTGTGGCAACATTGCATTGGCGGGCTCTAACTGTGATGCTGCCGCTACTGTGCAGGAGCAATGATCTCCTGAGTATTATTTCATTGCTCCTGCACAGTAGGGTTTGAAATGACCTGTGAGCCTTCGGGACTGCGCAGTCATGGTGGGTACTCTGTGTTCATTTAGTTATTGCTAAAGCAAATACTGAATAAACTGCACAGTAAAAACTGCCCAGTGGGGCAGACATGTAGAAGACTGTGCGCACTGGATCCTGTGTGTAGGGTGGGTTAATGAGCCCAATCTAGACAAACCCCCAGTCCAGTACACAGGGCTAGCCTGGCACAGGTGCCACGTCAAGCAGACATCCCCATGCAGCCTCATGCCACGTACAGCCCATGCCAGGCAGGCTCCACAAGGAGCATCAAGAGATCACAGACTCGTTCATGGACCTGATTTCTCTTGATCTGAACCTGACAGATGCCAGAGCCTGATGTGACAATATGTGTCTCTGTCCTTCAGCCTCCATGCTAACTTACTGTAGTGGCAGCTCCCACTTGGGACACGGGTTGGTTGGAGTCCAGCAGCTAGAAGATTTGTGGTGTTTGGAATTCGATCTCTTCATGGATGTTCCCATGGCCAGAAGCGACGATCCCATCATGGGAGAATTTTTAAAATATCAACCTTTCTCAATCCCCAAATTGTGATTTATTTTTTTTAAATGAACCAAACTGTCCCAAAACATTTCAATTTGACCTTATCAGTTTTGTCTGGACCTCATCACAGCAGTTGACAATCTAAAGCCCATGACCCCATTGTATCCACCCTGTGGAGGAAGGTCTTTTGCTAACAGGGGCCTTCTCTGACCCTGCGCTGTGCTGTACTGCAGCTGGGCAGCAAAAAGAAGCAGCACTGTCGAAAAGTGGTAGTAGTCACCTGGTTTTGGTATCAGCCTAGTTTTCCCCTGAGCTGGTTCAATCTTGCCTAAAAATGGAAAATGTTGGTGATCCCCTGCTCTATCATATTGATGTGTCCATTACGTAGCATTACAAAGACATCCCAATACGGCTCCTTGCAACTTTGGAGAAAAAATTATTAAAATATATTATAGAATATATACAATACTAGAATTTTTACCTAACTTGGTAAGATTAAATGTAGGTTAAACAACTGTTAGGGACATACTTAATTTTCCATCCTTACTCATGCTATATTTACATTAGACTTGTGAGTCTACTGCAGAAACAATAATCCTTAACATTATCATCAATCAGCATTGAAAATAACTCTAAGGATTATCTGGCCCTAACTAACCTTGTCCAGTTCTGTCAAATTTTTCTTATACAGGCTGCCTTTCAAAGACCTTATTATTTCATTTCTCGCCCACCTGGATACCTCCTCCAACCTCTCCCTTTCCTTCATAAAAAGTGAAGCCCAGACCAGCACTAAGAAGTGTCACTGTCACCTCAAATGTCTTGCACCTATTAAGACAGCTAAAAAATTGCATTTGCTTTCTTTACAATTGCACCAAATTGCCAATTTATGTTGAGTCTGTGATCTCCCAAAACTCCTGGATCCTTCACATAAATGCTGGCTCCCTGGCACTTATCTCCCATTCTGTATTTGTGCTTTTCATTACTTTTTCCTGGATGTAGCATCTTAAATTTATCCATACTGGCTTTCACCCTGTTACCTCTCACCCAGTTAGATAATCAGATGATCTATTAAAATCATTCGTATTCCACTCTTGTCCTCCGGGGTGTTTGCAAACCTTCCCAGTTTTGTGCCAGCCGCAAATGTTCTCAGGCAGCTCTCTATTCTGCCATCCAAATCATTCATCATATCATTTAGAAAACCACACCCCACAAGTCATCATCATCTTGGAATTAAAAGGATTTATTTGAGGTGGCACAAGGAACACCAGACTTTTTCACTTGCACTTCAACAATGCTAACACAAAATGGCTCCAGCTGAGTAACACAGACTTTATCGCACTGCTGAATGTAGCTGAGAACTGTCATGTTTCATAAGCAGAATGCACACGACATTATGAAAACTTAATTTCATGATTTCATTATAGATCTAAAGAAACAAAGTAGTAAACCAAACGCACAAAGTAAAAAGGGACATCCTGTTCTTGGAGAGCATCTGCCTTTGGAGCAGTTTTCTGACAGCACATTTGATCTCCTTGTTCCTCATGCTATAGATGAATGGATTTACCATTGGAGGAACCACAGAATATAGAACAGCTGTCAGAAGATCTAGAGAGGATGGGAAGTAGGAGGTGGGTTTCCCGTAGGCGAAGGCACCAGTGAAGATAAACAGGGATACCACAATCAGGTGAGGAATGCAGGTGCAGAAGGCTTTCCGCCAGCCCTGCTCAGAGGGGATTCTCCACACTGCGGTGAAGATCTGAACATACGACACAATAATGAAAACAAAACAACCTAGAGCTAAAAA